ATTTGTTCAAGGGTACATAACAAACCTAAACAAGAATATAAATCAGAATGAATTAGCCACTGAAAAGAAGAAATTTTATTACCTTCAAGTTTTTCCGAGGTCAAGGAAGATGTCATTTCCATTTCCTTTTCGAATGTCTGTGTCCATTGACAACAAACATTAGGCTAGTCAGAGCATAATGAATAGCACAAGCAAATTTTAGTTCGTTCTAACAAAAAGTATTGAATAAGGGTAGCATTGAATTTTTCTGTATCTATTTTTGGGGACCCTAGGTGTATGAACAGAAAACGATGTCTTATAATGTCCCTTGTACTTGAATTGAATCATAAAGGCATTTTAAGAAAGAATTCGGTTATACCAAGGAAATGGTTTCGCTGCGCAAATGTTAATATTTAATTAAAAATTTGGTCTACTGCATCAAAATTTCATGCTTTTCACTGCATTGCCAATGGAAAGATTCCGTGGCATATGAAAACACAGTCCCTTCAATCTCTGTGAAACAAGCAAATGAGTGGACGATTTTCACAATTCACATCATCCATGAAATAACCAACAATTGTTTGGATGATTGCGAATAAAATAACGAAGTACATGAATTTGTACCAAGAAACAATAAACCAAATTATCAGCAAGTAGACATAAGTCAGCGTTCAAAAGAAACAATTAGTATGTTTCGCCAACAAAAATGCAACTTGACCATTCACATCATCCCCATTTGTAACAAATATGATAGTTAAGCATTTTTTTTTCAATCAATTGTGCACTCTTCCTTATCACCAAACTACAAATAACTCAAATTAAACTCTTTTCTAGTTCATATATAAAGTTCATCACTCCAAATCTTAAGATCACCAAAAGCCAAACATAGCAAGCTATTTTTAAAAAAAAATCACATACACAGATCATAAATGAAAATTCCATAACAAAAACTAAAAACCCAAATTTTCAAAAGATGAATTAAGAAGATTTCAGGGTATACCCATGCCTGTAGAGATAGTTTAAGGGGTCTGAATTTGAGCTTTGTGGGTTTTCTTGAAAAGTAACATAGAGCTGTCCCATTACTATGGAAGACTGGAAATTCACAAGAAATTGGATGAAACCTGTTTCTCGGTGTTAGATATGGGATAAAAATAGTGGTCATGTAAGAATGTTGCGAAGGAGGTAAAAAGGTACACTGGATTCGCATTCTGATTTTCTATCTGTAATTTGTTAACTGTGTGTTTGTGTGGTAAAGATTGAATTTTGGAAGCATCAGGGGAGAAAATCTTGAATCATTTGGAAAATTTTATTTTTGAACTGTTGAGAAGATAAAGTTCTCAGTTTTAGAGGTTCAGCCAATTCTTTCATGGTAAGCTTATAAACCGGGCTCAACCGGACCGGTTATTGAACCGGGAATAATTTTGAGATTTTAGTTTGAGAAAATAGCACTACTAGTCCCCAAACTATTCTCAACCTTAAAAAAAAATATCAAATCGATCGTTATTATTTTCACTATAGATGCAAAATCAATCTTCAGCCTTGTAACCTTTTCAAATCTTTACTAAATAGTCATGTGATCCTCATTTTCAAACTTTATTAAGCTAATTTTTTTCTTAAAAAATTGAGTTTTTTGAGAGAATTCGTCATAATCATATTGAGCATATAACTTCTTGTTCTCATCAATCTCTCTTCTCTTCAAATGTGCATAAATCTTCCAACAATCTTTTGAGATTTCAATTTACTATGACGACGCAAGTTAAGTAGGGTTTGGATCGTGTAACAAGGGTTTCATAACTCAAATTATATTGTGATTTATTTTCTATTTCACGTCCACGAACTTTTTGAATTAACACATCTTTAACTTTTAAACTTATAGTTATATCTTTGTCCTTTAAAAAAAATAGAAGTTTTATTATACTTTTTGATCTTGCAATGATCCGTCGATTGAACTAGTGCTTAGATTAGGTCAACAATCCGGCCACATCTTATAACTATGATTGGAGGCGAAGCTTGAATTCAAATAAATTTGGGTTCTAAACATTATTTCAAAAATATAATGCCAAATTGAAAAACAAAAAAGATAGTCGACATCCCAACTTTGATGTCTAGTCTCTTCCTTGTCACCCATTTAGTCTAATCCAATCCCCATTCGACTCCCTCATTGCAATCCATCCCCATCCCTTTCCACCTTATAGACCTCTCTCTTAGGGCATCTCCATTTAAGGGTCAAATTTGGTGTAAAACCATCTCCAATGAAAGGTCAAATATACTGCAAAATATAGTGTAATAATACACCTAGGGTAAATATATTCACACTATGATTTTGATTTGATTCACCGCATTATAAACACACTCCAATAAATACACATATTTTGTTAATATTCCCAGCCTTTTACAAATATATCCTTTCTTAATTAATTAAATAAGGGAAAAAAAAACTACTATACACCATAGTCATGATTCCTTTCCAATATTATCTTCTTCAAGCATCTCGGCACCCCAACTAGTGATGGCAAAAAAATCATCCCCGACCCAACCCCGAGGAGGGGCACTGCCCCGTCTCCGGTCTTGGGGCGGGGGTGAAGAATAAAAAAAAAAATGTTTTGGCCATTGTTTGTTTCGAGTGCTTATTTTGAATATTGATGTAGTTAATTTGAGCATTATTTGCTTTGAAATTTAAAATTTTTAATTTGTATTTTAACTGAAAATAAATAATAAATAAATAAAAACAAGGCAGAAAACGGGGCAGGCCTACGCGCAGCACCCGCCCCGCCCCGCCCCGCCCCATCTAAGACGGGAGAGTGGTGGGGCGAGAGTGCATCTCTTCGAACCCGCCTCATTGCCATCTCCAACCCCAACTTAAATAATTCAACTAGTTTATTTTGATATTATCACTTGTGTAGTGTTGGGAATTAATGATGTAAGGAGGTTGGAAGAAGTATGTCCACTTTGCGAGGAGAAAGGGAAGATTCGAAGTGAATTTTGAATTTTTACTTGTGTAAAGATTTTTTTTTAAATTAGAGTCCGTTTGATTGCAAGAATTGAAAATTGGTGGAAATAAAACGAATTTTAAGGAAAATAATTGCTTAGAACTTGTTTTTCTAGAATTGTCAATTAATTATGTTTGATTGGTATAATTTTTTACTTGAAAAATGTTGAACTTTTGGATCTTTTGGTATTCGTTTGACTTTATTTTCTATGAAAATTATTCATTAAAGGGAAAAAAAAGTTTTACAATTGGGGATGGAATTTGTTTTCATTACCAAAAATAAAATAAGGAAAACAATTTTCCCACAAAAGTGGTAGGAAAACCAATTCAATGAAAACCTGGAAAAATGGGTCACGTGGGGGTTGACGGAAAATGTTTTGCCAAGAAAATTTTGGTATCAACCAACAAAAAAGTTAGAACTTAAAAAATAGTTCCATGAAAAATAGTAAAGATCAAACAAGGCTAGAGTTTTATTTGTAAGGCAGTGGTGCACCTTACTATTAGAGAGAAGGAAAAATGACTTTTTTTTTTAATAATGGTGGTTATTTAAGTCATTTTCCTTGTCACCATTTTAGCAAATATAAAAAAGTGGTGTAACAAATAAAAATTGTGGTGTGAATGTAATTACCCCTTGTACCAAATACAAGAACTTTCAATAACCCCATTTTGCCCTTCTTTCCTTTTTATAAAATTTGTTTCTTCAATCGATGTCCTATTTTAATATTTTAATATTGATAGATTTTAATTGATTTATAATTAGTTTAATGTGATTTTAATTTTAATTTAATATTTATTTTTAAATTCTAATTTATTAATAATTGATAATTATTTCAACAATAAATTAATATACTAATTTCGATAAATAAGTGATATAACGAGTTATTTTTTTTTCCAAAATTTGTTTTTAATGGAGACCAAATAGGGGCTTTAATATAATTTTTATTGTTTTTAAATTATTAATAAATGCAATATTTTAGTTCATTAAATATAATTTCTAATTTAACAATTTTTATAATAATATAATTTGTTATTAAATAATTCAAAATAAAATTTTGTGTAAGATTACTGTAAAATCATCTCCAATGATGGTGTAAAATTACACCAAATTTGATGTAGACTAATAGAAATCGTCTTACTCATTTTCCTTGTGCTCTCTTATTTACCCTCTTCCCTTAATTTCTTTCACAGGGTGCAAAATAATTTTCAAAAATTTGAAAGATATGCCCCAGTTTGATGTGGATCGAAATCCTGATTTTAATTTAAGTTAATTTTAACAACACATTTTATGAAATCTCCTATATATACGCTAGTTCATTCACAACAAAGGTACGATGAAATCTCTAACTCAAACCAAATATCCTCTTCATTTCTTGTTCTCATATTATATTTCATCCGACCGTCGACTTGACTGTTGAGTGCAAATGGTTGTTGGAACTTTTTTTTTCAACCAACGGTCTTTACCTCTTAATTGGGTGTTCCAGTGTGCAGACAACGTCAATATGGAAGAGAGATATTCGAAATTCTGTTGTCGTTTTTTTTTTAAGTCAACGTTATCTTTTAACAACTCTTGATGTCAAAATTTCATGCTTCATTTTGCCTCATCTTGAATGGTAAATTGTGGAAGGGACAGGTGAATTTCTCGAATCTTTTAATTTTATTTTTATATTTTTCAATTTGAATAAAAATAAAGTAAACGAGAAATGAAAAAAAAAAAAAGATAAATAAATAAATAAATAAAGGGAAACAAGAAAAACAAAGACACAATCAACCGGTAAGGTAGTTGAGACCTCCGCCCACCTTCGATGAATCCAAGAATCCCATTCTATTTTCCTCCCAAATCACACTTGAAAATCCACTCCATTTTCCCATCTCTCTTCTTTCTCCCTCACATACACGCAGCAAAACAATGTCTCACCTTCTCCACACCACCTTCGTCCCCACCACGTCCCCCTCCCTCCACCGCCCACTAATCCGAACCACCCACAACTCTACCCGGGCCCTCCAAATCCACTCCAAGATCCGGGAAATTTTCATGCCGGCGTTGAGCTCCACCATGACGGAGGGAAAAATCGTCAGCTGGATCAAGTCGGAGGGGGAGAAGCTCTCCAAGGGCGATTCGGTGGTTGTGGTGGAATCCGACAAGGCGGATATGGATGTCGAGTCCTTTTACGATGGGTACCTCGCCGCCATTATGGTGGAGGAGGGACATTCTGTTCCCATTGGTTCCCCCATTGCTCTTCTTGCTGAATCAGAAGACGAAATCGCCGCCGCCGTAGCCCAGAAATCATCCTCCTCCTCCGCCGCTACCACCACCACCGCCAACAACCCAGCCCCCGCCCCCGCCCCAGATAGTATTGCTAGTGATGTTACTCCCAGTGCCATTACAAGTGCAAATATTAGTAGCAGAAGCTCTGTTGCTAATGGTGCAACGGGGTCCTCGGTGCACTCTGCATCGGAAGGGGGAAAAAGGGTCGTGGCATCGCCATACGCGAGGAAATTGGCAAAGGAATGTGGGGTGGATTTGATTGGACTAGTGGGAAGTGGCCCTAATGGGAGGATAGTGGCAAAGGATGTGGAGGAGGCTGTAGCTGCAAAAGTAAGTGCAGGTAGTGCTAGTGAGGCCGCTAAGCCGAGAAGTGGTGGTGCTGCGGTGGAACTGGGATCTGTGGTTCCATTTACGACAATGCAGAGTGCGGTGATTAGGAATATGGTGGAGAGTTTGGCTGTGCCGACGTTTAGAGTTGGGTATACAATTACCACAGATGCACTGGATTCTTTGTACAAGAAGGTAATCTGGTGAATGGTGATCTTATTAACTGATTTACGTATAAATTGATATTTGAAAAAAAATTACCTTTTTTTAAGCTCTACTAAATGCAGTAGTTGAATGATCTATACTTGCTGGAGTAGGAATCAGTAAAATAATTGTCGTGCTAGTGAACACTGTGAGGCAAAGCTTTAAAATTTCCGATTTTGATGAATATATGTTCTGTCAATTACTGATAGATTAGCATAAAGATTTCTTTAGCAATTTCGCCAAGTAAATTACAGATTGTGATGGTGAATGATTGCATAATTCAGATATTGTAGGTAGAAGTGGAAATAAGTCAGTGTAGATTTTTAGAAAAAAAATAAATCTCTTTTAAGAAATGGAATGTGAGAAAATGCAGGCTCGTTCACGGAATCAACTGAAAATTACTTGAATAAATAGAAGGGTGGAAATTTATTTCAACATTGAAGATTTGATGCGATGGTGCTTGTTTTTGTTATCATGTTAAGTTGTTCAAATTGTTTAATGAGTAACTTATATCGAGCATTTTTAGGTCAAGTCGAAGGGAGTAACCATGACCGCAATTCTAGCAAAGGCAACAGCACTTGCACTGGTTAAACATCCTGTTGTGAATTCTAGTTGCCGAGATGGTAAGAGCTTCACATATAACAGCAGTATCAACATTGCGGTTGCTGTTGCCATCGATGGTGGTTTGATTACACCCGTGCTTCAAGATGCTGACAACGTGAGAATTAGCCTAGTATTGTCAATTTTATGATCAGCCTATTACGGTTTTTATGTTCTCACTTTCTCTAGTGACACGGTACATTAAATTGTTTCTCATTAAACTTGTTTGTAGATTGATATATATTCCTTATCAAGAAAGTGGAAGGAATTAGTCAATAAGGCGCGAGCAAAACAACTGCAACCTCACGAGTACAATACAGGTATATTTGTTATTTGATTATTCAAACCGAAATTTTTTTTCAACCAAGAGCTTGTGGCTGAAACATGCTTACGCATGCACGGACACACAAATAGAACTTGAGGATCGGAAAATGTAGTAATACTGCGCATTTCATTCAATATGAAACCAAATTATATCTTTCAATAAACAAAGTTTTATTTTTCATTTTTGATTGATTGGAGCATAGATGCATACATATTTGCTGTTCCTGGTTTGAACTTGTTAACTTATTTATCACTTGTGCATTTGCATCATTTTTGAATAATACACTTGTGCCAATTGTATGCATGAGTGGATATTAACTTATTAGGAACATGGTTAAATCTGTCGCTAGAAAACTTGAATGAGCTGGACTTGATCCTTCACTGAACAAGCTTTTGAGCATGCGTTCCCAGTAGGTCTTATATTTTGAGTATTTTACCAAGTTCTTGTTTATTGTCATTTTACAACTCTGAGCAGGCTATAATTTCTTGATAATCAGTCTTTCTGAGACATAAAATTAGAACACATTCATTGTTATGCACGAGAATGCAAAATTTTTCACTGTAATTTGGTTTACTTTCTCAAATTTAGGCTACATTGGATTTCAATTCTTTTACCTGATTTAATCTTGAACCATCAAACCTGATAAATCACTTTTGTAATAAAATGTTTGGTTAGCACTGGAAAATCTATTATTTACTTATCTAACTAATTTATTTCTTTAAATTCTTTTTTTAACTTGAACTTGCTAGAAGAAAACATGCCATTTACACTATTTTATTGTGATCTCAACTAGTTGGAAAACAACCATGACTTTGAAAGAATGAAATAAACAAGAACTATGCTAGTGCAATGACGATCTTCTGTGGGATGGATTGTTCTGCAGCTTTTTTCTGCTTTCTTGTTGATTTTCTAGTCACACATTTTCACTTTTCGATCGTGTGCTGAAGTCATGCTAAATATTGCTTTAATCCCCTATAAAACTTGCTGATGTTTGCTCGGTTAACAGGTACGTTTACCCTATCTAACCTTGGAATGTTTGGTGTTGACCGCTTTGATGCCATCTTACCTCCGGGAACTGTAAGTGTTCAAACTTAAGTTCCAAAGCATTCTTTCCCTAGTCGACTAGATATTGTAAATTCTCTCTTTAAATGCATTAGAGCATGTTAGTCTAAGCTTATTTGGTGGCATTTTTACAGGGTGCAATAATGGCTGTGGGTGCATCTCAACCCGCTTTGGTTGGTACAAAGGATGGTCGGATTGGCCTGAAAAATCAAATGCAGGTAGATTCTTGGTCATTTTAGTGCTTATAGATTGTGGATCTTGCAGTTCGTATGAATAATAAGAGGGTAGTAAATTGTGGGTTTGATGAAATGTGTAGATAAAAAGTATGTTTGATCATCTTAAGTAATAATTTAAGCTTTCGCAACAAAATTTTGCTCTTATTTCTTTTGACTGACCTTCGAATGCAATTCTTCTAGGTAAATGTTACTGCAGATCATCGTGTGATATATGGCGCTGATCTGGCAGCTTTCTTGCAAACCTTGGCTAAGATAATCGAGGACCCTAAAGATCTCACTCTTTAGTTTCATATCGACGCGAGAGGTTCATGTTTTTGTTAGCTTATTAGCTTTTCTACTAGAGCTCGATGGGATAACCTTGTCGAAGAATTCAGAAGTCAATCTCCTTGGGAAAAAGCTGGAAACTGTTTCTCGAGTTAATACTGTTAAATAGTTGTATTCTCATTCATAGTTGTCTTGATCAAGTGCTTTTTGTTGTTTCATCGGTTCATTATAAAGTTTTTGCTAAATTTGTTCAATCGATTTTATTTCGCTTGGCATGTAGAAGAAACTTGTGACACTGAAATTGAGTTTCTCTTTGGAACTGTTAAGCTAATTTTCTATCAACTCGACGCAATTATATTTTTCATTTTCAAACCATCGTGTGATTCTTCTTCTTGCTCGTATCAAATGAATCAATATGACAGTAAAAATGATTTGTTTGGTAAGTTAGCCCACATCTGATTCTCATTATTTTCAAAATACATTTTTTTTTCTTTTTTTTTATCAACCACATATTTTTCAATAAAATAATATTATACCAAAACACAATTTTTTTTTTTTTTAACCACACTTTCTCCTTTAATCTATCATTTCAAAATGCAATCTTACTATAAAATAGGAAACAAACAGGCTTTAAGACTGTACTTGACAGAATTAAGAGTATATTTGGTTAAGCTTAAAAAATGTAAGCTACTTTTTTTTAAGTAATTTTCCTCCTTTTGCCCCAAAACATGTAATTTACTTTTTCATACTTTGAGAGTTAGATAAGTCATTTGTTTCAGACTTTTGCAAATAACAGAATTATTAGTTTTGAGAATTACTCATATACCTATAAGTAAGCATTTTAAGCTTAGTAGAACATGATTTATAGCGTTTCAATGGTCATGGTGGTGTGTTTTATCTCATGCAAATCGAGTTTTTTTTTTTTCCATTAAATATTTGACATGTAAATTCTTCATAAATAGGTAACGACAAGTAGCTGATAAATGTTAAATTTACACTTATTTAAGTTATCAAAAGTGGCTCTTGTTAGTATTATATTGTGAATTGATACGTTATTATTTGTAATTTTTTATTATGTTAGGAGAAAACTTGAGATAGAATCAAGAAGGACGAACTTTGGATAAAATATGCAAATGTTCTACACTTCAAAAATTTGAAGGACTTAAGTGCATAATTTGAAGAATTGGGGCATTGGAGGCAAGAAACAAATTTAATTAAACCTTGCCAAGAGTTCGAACAGGTTTTAAAAAGCTGGGAAGAAAACGAGATTGAATATGCACAGACGGAAGACAGCCAAACACGGACGGCAGAAGGCAAATATATATTTTCCAAATTTTGTTCAATTACTGAATCGAAAATTTGTGCAAGGATTTAATCACGTTCCGTCAAATTTATCGAAAGATTTACACTATACGAGGAAGAAAAACGAAGGGAAATTGTTGGGATTCGTGTGACGAAGATCAAAAATAGTTCGGAGTAATTTTATCTTGCTGATTGTAATTAAACCCGATGACATCTTTTAAACCTTGTTTGTTTAATTCCGACGTCATGAGTGGTCAAGTGTTTTTATGTTAGGATGACGATGTAGTTTATGATTTCTAATATTTGTTTAATACAAAGATTCCATGCCACTTTAATACGTGTTAATTAATTAATGTGTGTTTAATGCCTTCGCAACAATTGATTGGTTTAGGAATACTACGGAAACTGAAAGATAATGTATGATTCGAACCCATGCAATAATTAACATAAGCATTATATGAAATCGAGAGATAATTATATGACTATGCGATCTGTATTGAATTCTTATAGGTTAATGTGTTCATATGTATGCGAATTTACATAAAAATATAGTAAATTCGAGCATATAAATATGATTAGTATTGCGCGAGAGAGATCACTAGCTACATTAAGTTAATTCGATCATTGACACGTATGAAAGGTCGCGGAATGAATTGAAATTAGATGCATGTTTAATAATTTAAGTGAAATCAGAAATCTTAACTACCTAATATCATAATCTTATCAATCGTGTTAATTTGATTTGGTTACTAAGTTTAGTAGAGCTTTCGTTACAAAACATAATTTGATTTGATAATAGGTTACCGTTTTACTTAAATTGAAGCTACGTTAGTTTTAAAAAAGTTGATATTAGATAGTAATCTCTAAGAGCGATATCGGAGCTTAAAAAAATTTACTTTATTATTTGTCACAGTCCTTACCCTTGCGAAATTTGACAAACGGTGGCCTTTTGTATGAATCTAATAAGATGTTAACAATATCATTTAAAAAGTTTTAGCCATTAGAGAATAAACACATCAACTTGCCTCCTAACGTCTAACCGAATTTTTTTATGAAACGTTTAATACAGTACAATTTTTATAAATGAATGACGAATAGATTTGAACCCAAATCGATCTCTACGTGTTGTGACATATGTAACCATCTAATCACAGCTAGCATGCTATAAAATGTGGTCACAAAGTTTTCTAAACAACATTATTTTGTGATAATTATGATAATTTGTCACTCAACTCAATAATACAACTTTGATTGGGACCCACCCAAATTAATGTATCCAATCTTTCACTCATAAACAAGATATTTAGTGTAACAAGTTGAACCAAAAATGTTCAAACGTAATCAACAACCAAACCTTCCATACTTCCAACCACCCCAATTAATTCTTCTCACCCCAATTTTTACACAAGCCAGACACACAAATTCATGGCCATTGAAGAAGAAGACTTCAGCTTCCCCGCCACCACCGCCGATGCTCAACCACGCTTCATCGACTCGCCACCCCTTTGGCGCCCCGTTTCCGTCCCCCCACCACATCAAAAACCAGAAAGATTAGTTGACAAAGAAGAAAGCAGAGAAACTTACAACAGCAATCAAAGAAAGAACTTTTCTCGCGGTATGAAGATGAAGTGGAGAGAAGAAGACAACGACGTTGGTGACGAGCTTGAGGAAAAAATGGACATGTTGTGGGAGGATTTGAATGAAGAATTCTCAAGAAAACTTGTGGTAGATTCTGGTATGTCTTCATCTCATAGAGATGTACAAATTTCGTGTGTTAAAACCTTAAAGTTGTCGAAGCCCAACGGAAATTTGCTTTCTGGCAAAAAACTAAGCATTGTATTGCTTATGAAGATCTTGACGAGAAAGGTTTTTTTTGTACATAATACTCGCAGTTCTATCAAGAACCGGGCATGCTGACATAAACATAATATGTCCATCATGCTTTTCATGCACATTTGAGTTTTTTAATTTCATATTTTCACGAATTAAATTTATTGAGGACGGTTGAAGGGATTGTATGTATATCTTTTAGCGTTTCGACTTTTTTGTTTGGTTGATAAGTAGAGGAAATGTTTCTCGAGAGAATGATGAATTCATTTTGTCTACGAACAAGGAAGCTGTAAGTAATGCAATTATAGATCTCATGGAGGAAAAATTCCGATTTGATCATTCAACTAATCTCGTTCAGGCGGCCAAGAAATCGGGAACTCGGGAAGAGCCAACAACTTATTTCATGAACATACAACTCATTCATAAGTGTTATATGATTTCAGTAGAACCGTCTAGTCAATAATTTGATAAATGGTTCCTTGGTTTTGCATCATTGTGTCCATCTTAGATAGAGATGTTAATTTGATTCATTGAGAATCTTTTGAAGGATCAAAGAAAGTGGCAACTTAATTTGAGTTTGTATATTGTAATAGGTACAAGCGTATGGTAGAATAATTTGTTTAATTTGATGATTCCATTTGCCTTTGATTGCTTGAATGCCTAATTATTTGTCTTCACATAAATAAACTTTTTCAAGCTGTAAAGCGCATGCAGACAATTTATGACAAATAGAATTACCAAAAATTGGGGGAACAAATGGAAAAAGATGCCAAATACTATATGAATCTAAAAATAGCAAAATAGCTGCAGAGGTTCGCAACCTTTCACGCAAGGAGCTTTTAAGTCCCCAACTTACCAAAACATAGCAATCATGTCCCGGACGTTTAATTTTCTTAGCCGCAAGGTCCTAGACAAAACTCATCCAATTAACAATTATCTCATGTTCTATCAGAATCAAGTAGAATACTTCCAAGTCGAGAACTATGGAATTTTTTTTTTTTCCAATACCAAAAATTAATTTTTTATTCGACCAAATCTCCACGAACCACGGGCAAAATAAAAATCAGAATAAAATCGACCCAACTATAAGTAACTGTAACAAGAAGTAGAGAAGGATGCCAGTTCATGGCCCGCTTTCCTTATGAATTTTACTGAAGTTTGTAAATAATCAATAAAATTGAACTTTTCTTTGAAGATACTAAATTTCTTTCCACGGCAATAGCCTACATATCACATAAATCCATCAATGTCTAGTACAGAAAGTGAATGACCAACCAAAATATATCAATTTGAGAACAAAATGGCACCCAAAATAAAAAATACAAAGTGGAATTGAATTATCATTATTGAATATCTGGTATAAAAATATTGGGTGCTTCATTTTTCTATTTTCAATATGATATTGGAGATTAAAATGAACATAGGCTCTATGAATTTACTATCCCTTTTCCCCTTCAAGTAGAATGAGGAGCCACCAAAACTGAACTTGTTTTTCTTGTTTTCATGTCAATCAAAGCAGTATGCATCTATCATTCTTGAAGGTTATTTGGCAATTTACATTCATTGTGTGATGTCAGAATCACCACTATGCAACTTCACAAACCACTTGGAAAGAAACGGTTTACCCGTGGTGATTCATTTTGTACAAAAAAATTGAATCGATTTCTCAGATATGGCTCAACGTCGTCTTGAAACTATGCCGTTTCATGTATGGTGATATTCCTTTTCTCCTCGGATCTGTGATGGAACAACTTCGCAATCTTTCGCCTCTCGCAGTCCTGCATTACATGTGAACTGGCTTTAGACTGACAATACCAAGAAAGAAAAATAAGCTAAAATTTCATTATACTATCCCATCTTGTCTAGGACCCCATTCCAAACATGCGCTAAAGTGCACAAAGAAACCCAAAAGGTTTGGTCAACTTTGCCTTACAGGTTTTGCTCGTTCAGAGTTAAGATGCTCACCTTGAACATATTGAGATAAAAGGGTTTCTCGGGGTTCATCCTTCTCAACTTGTGATATGTATAGGCAAAACTTAGCTGGTCACGAGGAGTGAACCGTTCGACCTCGTTAAACCAAAGGCAAGAGAACAAGTTTGACATAGGTGTGTGGGCCCTAACAATAAAAGACCCTTCAGGTACATCTGTTAAAAAAAAAGACATTATACAGACAGATTATGTTGAGAGAAAAGAATTCAAACAAAATGAAAATGAAAAATCATACTGCTGGGTAGAAGCTTGTTCGGATCCGATGCATTAAATATTTTCATCCCATCGTTTTGATAGAAGGCAAATTGTTCGTCTATAACAGTATGGTTGTACTTGTTAAGCTTCTTATTTTGGGCAACCTCTTCCCACAAACAATGGCGGTCATAGTGATTGGATATAGCATATTCATAACCTTTCCTCCACAGGAAATATTCCAAGATAAGCATCGGATCGAGTTGGAGACGAAGTTTGCTATCCAACCAAATTGAGTACCTGAAATAATTTCCAGAAGCAAAAGGTTAAAGTAAAACACAAAGAGAACATTTAGATAAGCAATTTTTTAGAAAAAGAAAAGAAAAGCTTAACTTCCAAAATTAATTATTTGAGTAGAAAGCAAAATATAATTTTATTGTTGTGTGGCTCACTCCATACTGTTAAAAAGGAATATCAAGTCGAGAATTTCAGGATTAATCTTCTTCTATCTTCAGAATCATCTTGCTAGTGTACTGCAGAACTCAATACTCCCTCCATGATTGAAATATTTTGTTTGACCACCAAAATCAAATGGATTATTAATCGGTGTACAGTTTCTTATATATTCATTCATCTAATATTCCAACAAGGGACAAGGGTTGTTAGTGTGGCACATGTTGAAGTGGATAGAAAAATTCCCAGAATCAAAATAATGTGAGTATTGTATTGAATTTTATCAGGTTTTCCATTAAGCCCTCGTTTGATGTACATTTTGTAGGTAAGAATGCATTTTTACTGTTGATGTGATGTGAAATATGTGGTTGAAAAAGAAGGAAAAGTTATTGATGAGATGGAAAATGTTATTTTATTGAACAATGTGTGGTTGAAAATGAGTAGAAGAATGAAAATGAAAAAAATAATGTAGACCAAACAGGGACTAAATAATAGATCCAGCACATCTAAATGAATTTTTGAAATAATCTTCTTTCATGGACTAGAAATTCAGATCTATTATCATCGACCAAAAATAGAAAGTACTACAAACAAGATGAGCCCAAACATGGAACCATTACATAAATGAAAAGCCTATAATTTTACCTGGCTGAAGGAAAAAGACGGTGTGGCAAAAATTTTGGTATCTTCCCAACTCTCCGCATGTCAGTGTAAGGAAGATTCTTCACAACCACAATCTTCCACAACCCAATAAAGCCCATTCTGTCTGGCATTTCACCTTCTGAAGAAAGCATACGTAAAGTAACTTCATCCACAAACATTACAAAACACACATTTTTCCTTGACAACCGAGAGACCTGAATTATTAGAAAAAAAGGGCAAAAGGTTAGATCAGAAGAATTGACGAACTCATTGAATGCTACAAGTTCAACTTCACAAACTGGTATCTTAGAAACACTAAAACAGATAGGGATGTAGTGCTGTATTGTGATTTGGAAGAGGAAGAGGAAAGTAAGTCACATGATTTAGTTGATGAGATGATAACGAGGATGCCAGGCATATACACAAGCAAAGCAGGTCAGCATATATTAAAAAAAAAAAAAGACGACAATCAGATTTCCCTAAACAAGCTTTATTTATTCTAATAAATGGAAAACCAACGAAACGCAACGTGTTAAACAAATCCCTTAGAAGCCAAGTGATCTGCCATTGAAGCATGTTTTCCCATATATGTTTTCAATTTCAAAAGTTAATAAAAAAGGATAAAAAAGAAAGAAAAGAAGAAGCCCCTGTTTGGCCCCCATTTTCTATAACTCATTTTTCACACACTCATTTTCTACAACGCATTTCATGGGACCCACAACTTTTATCAACTTTTCAACCACACATTTCATCAACTTTTATCAAAATTTACTAAAAATCTATTTTTTAGCTAAACCAAACAGGGGCTTATTGAACACTTCATAATTGTTCAGATTGATTATATCAAACCCCTAAAGAGAAATCCCACTCTTTGTTAGTGTTTATCATTGTGTATATTTTGTTTTATTTTGCCCTTCTTGACATTTCCAGCATCACAGATGAAGACAAGGAAGTGTTACCATCTTGTGATGCAACAATGTTTAAACATTTTGCTTCAACCTTGCTAAAGTTATTCTGTCAATACAAATCCAAATATTTTTCATGTTTCCCTTTTTGTAAACCAAAGTTTAACAAGTTTTCACTCTTACAGGGAATCCAATAATCAACTTAATAAATAACAACAAAGTGGAAAGGGGTAAAGTACCGTTTTGCCCATTGGTGATCTCAAGCGATCCGAATTCCCAAATATACAAGACATCACAGCAATGTGACAACTACTAATGTATTTTGCATCATCTTCAGCCAAGTCGAATCCTGTACTTGGAGACCCTTTTGGACCTCTCACAAAGCCACAGTTTATTTTCTGATCATGGGCAATAAACGACTCTTCCCTTTCTTTGAGTCTCTGATGTCCAGCGAATTTGGGTAACCATCTTTTATCTTCAATGGGCTTCTCTTCTGTTTCTGTATATCTTAGAGAGAATCTTGCAAATTTTCTACTTTCTAAAGGTTCTACAAGCAGTGAAGAGGAATTCAACATTTTCATCTCACAGGAACCTGGAATTTTGGAGTTGATATTCAGATCAATAATAAATTTAGTAGAAGAGGGTGAAAACTCATCTAATTATTTCAAACATTTGATATGCTAAGCATCATAATCTTCAATTTTATTTTGCTTACATTTCAATAAATTCATTTAAACCATTCCAACTAACCTTTCTATTAATTGATATTTCTCATGATGTACATGAGCTGAATGAATCTATGCAATGCCAAGCCACTAGTCATTTTAGTAATATAGTTGAAATAATGTAAACCATTCATTAATTACTCCATGTAGTCAAGTACTCAGTACTGAAAATATCTATAAA